GGCTCGGGGAGGTTTGACCCCTTCGCAGTGCCACACAGACACGAGGCAGTGGCGCTGGCATTCAAGTGCGGTCCTATCGGCGTGTGAGTCGGTGAGCGTGACTCCCTGAAAATTCGATACTGCAATTCTGTCAGAACGTTGGTTGTTTGTTCGTAGGGTATCTGCACTGTCAGCACGGAGCCCAATGTGGGACTCAGTCCCACGAACCGGGGGATCGTGACCTGGGCTGACATCCAGAGGCAGACATTCAACGGACTGAGCCGCCCAGGGGCCCCTCGCCCTCAGCTGTACCATTTTATATCCGCTCCACCAACAAATGTGTTGGCTCTGCCTCGGAAGTATATCCAGAATTCAAGAGTGTCTCTGGGGCAAGCTTCCATCATAAGTCGTGTATTTGGAACAGCCTCCGAGCCAGCCTCCTGGCTTCCAGTCCTGCCAATTCCAACCATTCTGGAATTGGTTGGAATGGTTCTTGTATAGTGCAAGTCAAAGCACGTCGTTCCTCTTCAACCCCGTGTCTGTACCTGGCCCTATGGGACTCTGAAGCATCTGTTTGTGTTAGCTTCCTCCCAAGGGAAAAGCAAAACCAACTTCAAATACCCGACGCTCCCTCCCTCAAGCGCCACCCATCCTGCAGCCCCCGCCCCTGGTGGGACCCCAGGAAGTCAGGCCTGTTTATACCTCAGGCCATTTGCACTCGCTGGCCCCTCTGCTGAGGACAATCCTCCCTAAGTGGTCCCCAGGCTGGCTCTCTCCCCTAATTAGAAGGGACTCGCCTCACTGCCCCTTTGAGGTCGTCAAAGGGATGTGGGCATTCTCTGTGTTTTTCTCTTCAAATTTTTACGAAGTGGAAAATTAAAAAAAAAAAAACTGTTGGGGAAGGACATAACTTAAACCCTTGTGATTCCCAAAGTGATAGATAAAAAGCTTGAAAAGAATTACTAGACCGCTGCCCAACCTGTCCTCCCTAGCGTCTGTGCACAGGGCAGAAACACAGATGGCCTGGGGACAGTGGTCCTACCCCATCCTTGGAAATACACAGCACCAAGTCTGAACTGTTACCTAGCTGTCACCCACCGGGCTAAGAGCAAGGGATTTTAGAGCTGACCAAACTGTTCCATCTGGGCACAAACACGCTGCAAAATCAGTCTCTCTCCCATCTACAACTTGCTGCTTGAAGACTGTGCTCGTTTTATTTTTAAAAGGAAAGTTCAAACACTTAATTTTTAGTAAGGTGCCAACGTCTACACAGAGGGTTACAATTAAAAAAAAAAAAAACCCACCACATTGCTCTGTGGTCGTTCCAACACCAAATGCGAACAGATCTCATAAAAGTCGCACGTAGGCTCATTCCCGGCACACCTAGGATGGCAAATAAATAGTTATTACTGCGTCAGCAAAAATGGAGTCTGGTTAATGTCCCCAAGTCACATGTACATGCTCCCCCATCGTGTAAATCATTTCAGAGGCTTGTGTTTCTCATCTTTTCCAGCTCGGCATCTGATAAGGAGTCCTGAGCAGATCTGCACTTGTCGATGATCCAAAGTAACCAGTTCTCCCCTCAGTGAAACGAATTCCCCAGTTTCTGTGGCTTACTGGGGCCAAAACGAGATCTTACTGAGAGGTCTTCTCCTTTGTAAGGTCTTTGGGGAGTACCAAACAGAGAAAGTTGAGCTGGCCTGGTTCTGAGGAATAGCGAACACCGAGTAGTGCTTGCTTCTAACACATTTACCTTTCCATAAATGCCACCCACGCACCCGCATTCCCGGGGGGTGCACCGAAACACGCAAGAAATCCCTGTGTCCCTCTCAGGATGTTCTTTATGACGTCTGTCCTTCTACAACACGTTTCCTTACTAGTAGAGAGGGGGAGCAAGAAATAGGTTGACGTGCTCTGTTAGAGAACTCCGATTCTGTCCCGCACTTATGTTTCTTTACATAAAACACTGCTTCAGAAAGGATCCAGAAAGTTCTACAGAAGTCTAAAGGGTTTGGTTCTGGAAGAAGAAACAAACACACCGTTCTGAGAAACCTTTATTTTACTTCCACATCCCAGTTGTACTCTTCCCGCTCATCAGATCGCCAGATAGACAAGGTTCTACATTTGGCTACAGCAAATCCCTTCAGAATCCCGACCCGCGTACTCTTACAAGAAAGACTGACAAACAGCTCGGAAGCCTGCTCCCCCTGGAGTTTGTGTGAGAGCCCGGGGCCAGCAGGCGAGTGGACCGCACAGGGGACTTCGGGCTCCACGGGAGGAAGGCAACCAGCTCTGGCAGCCCCGCTGCAAATTCTCCCACCCTTGACCTTCACCTGCCTGACCATGGCCTTCTGTTGCCAAGAGCCTGAACCCCACGACAAATTAGAGGTTCAACTCATGAAGGAAAACAAGGCTATTTGCGTCAAAGTAACACTCCCAATGGTCTGCCGTGAATTTGCAGACCTCTTCTACACTAAGGCCTGGGAGGAGGACAGAGCACAACCACCAACCCCCCCCCCCCCCCCCCCCCCCCCCCCCCCCCCGCCGGCTTGGTGACCTTGGCCTGGAGTAAACTATCCCTTCATTCCTCTATGGCCTCATCTGGAGGAGGAAGAAGTTCTGTGGTTTCACTACCCTTTGGCTATCCGTTCATGGTTTCGTGTTCCCTTTTGAAGCTCCCTGTTTTAGCTGAAGGGGCTTTCTGGATTATACAAATCCAGGCTGTGACTAACACTCTTTCGGGAGGCCACGCGGGAGTTAGCGGGAACTACATGAAGCAATCTTTAAGACCTCGTAGGATTTCAAGTCCAGGAGAACCCAGCTTCACTTGCACACGCTCCATGGAAACCCCAGTAACAACACTAATATTGGGATCTGTGACTCGACACTTAACGTGCCGTGAACGGGACACCAAGATCAAATTCTCTAGTACTGACCAGTGTTTCCACACTGAAGTGGCTATTTGATACCATTCTGGAGGGGGCCAACCGATCACAGAAACAAATTTTCCAGTGTTTGTCAGCACGATCTGACTTCACTTTTTTGAACCCAGAGGACACAGCAGTACATTTTCTTGCATCAACCAGAAGTTTCACAGAAAGCCGCTAGTCGCTAGGTTTTTATACAAGATGAGCATTTTTACGAGGGCTGAGAAATGATGGCTTCCGATTGGGAGTTCTAGGTCAGATCTGAGAGAAGGGGTGGGGAACCGCTCGGTGAGTAGGAGAATGTCTGGAGGGTGTGGCAAGAAAGAGAGTAAGGAGGACAGGGAGGACACCAACAGAGACATGATGATGGCATCCAATCCAGGGGACAGTCTTCCCTCCCAAGGACCAGTCCCTCTTCCTTGTTAGAAGAATCCAAAGTTCATTCAGAGAGTACCAGGCCTCACTAAAACTTCTTCCCACACTCACGTGCAGCCAGGGGGAGTCACGGGACCAAAGTCCAGCCAATGGACATCAGCTGGGCACCTGTGGGCAAGTTCTGCTTCCTGGGCACAGGCATCGCACCTTGCTACGTGTCTCCTCCTCCCGCTTCGTGCCTAGGAAGCCGACGGCCTGGCTGGCAGCCGGGTAACAGAGAACCCGGCCTGTGACTCTGAGGCTACAAGCCAGAGGACGAAGGACGGCAGACAACAATAGCAAAGCGTACGGCTGCTGGGTGGTAATGTGGAGACACGCGAGAGTGCCCGACCCCCCGTTTCTCGTTCAGCTTATCACTGTTCGTGGGATTTCTCTCTGGCCGCCAGACACACACCTGGCACGTCAATATCCGAGACCAAGATCGCAAAGGGCGCGGGCCACTCGGTGAGAAGGGGGGAGCGGGGACACACGTGACAGGCTCCCAGGGGCGGACGTACTCACACCGGTGCCACAGCGGACCGGAACCGCAGCTCGGTTCCTTCTCACAGAAAAGAGCCGGGTCCCGACTAAAGGGACAAATGCACCGTTAAGTTCAACACGAAGGTGCCCAGTGCTCCAAGTGGCGGTCTCCAATTTAACTCTGCCCTTCTGTGCTTTGACTGCGAGCATGAAAGCGCACGCTCAGACATTAGAGCCGGACGTTATGCATCCTACAGAGAAGATAATGGAACAGATTTAGAATCAATTTAGCATTTCTCTCGCAATCCATTTGGAGGAGTTCCCACTGAGACTTCGTATGCCTCACCCTCCCTGCAGCCGTATTTAATAAGAGCTGAGAGGAAAAATAAGTAGTAACACTGGGTGGCCGGCTTTGACTCTCACGTACGCTATCTGGAAATTGAAGCACGCTTACGGCAAGCTGGCAGCATACAGGATATGGCCCGTGGAAAGTGCCGGACTGATCAATATTTAAGAATGCACAGGCCACGGCGATCAACAAGTGAGGTACATACAACAGGGACGCGAAACCATGAGCAGGTGCGTATACCCTCAAAATCGCGGCGGGTCCCTTCGTGTGGGAGGAAACACGCGTAGCACTAAACGCTCGAACAGTGAGTTCACGGTGTGGTCCCGAGATGCTGGTGTTGCACCGAGAAAGGGTTTCTCATAGTCAGTGGAGCAGAAGCCCCCGGATGTTGGTGCACAGACGGATGAGAGCAGGAGCAAGACAACGGGATGGTCACGAGTGAGCCCACTGGCATTCGTGCAGCTTTCACTCGGTTCAAATTTAATTTCTTTTTCTTTTCCGACAAAGTAAGTGCAAACATCTTTAATCCAATTCAGTAAAATAGCAGCAACACTTCGGGAACCAATAAATAAAGATGCTGACAGGCCAATACCCCTTGGCCTCTCAGACTCAAAGCTTCCCAAACAGCCTTAAACAGAAGGGGCAAGCGTTTCTTGACTCAGCATTTGTGTTCTGTGTCCTTGTACAAACCACATCGTTTACACCCACCCACATGCTCCCACGGCAGTTAATAAACTCATTAAGAAACACAGCTGGAAACTCATAAGGGGTTAAAGCTATAAAATGCCTACTCGTGGATGTCTTTAAAAAAAAACACACACACACCAGGTTTTATCCTCCTTTCGTTCAAACAAAGCTTTTGTTTCCACTGCCCCTAGCGTATAATCGTTCATTAGGATAATAACATATCGTTTGTTTATTTCTTTTAAAATGACACAGTTGTGTTTCTCTCAAAATAAATGCCACCTTGTTTCTAATTAAACATGATGGATTCAGGGTCCTGGTTTGCCATCTGGGCCATATGTCTCAAAACATCCTTTTTCGTGATGATGCCAAGAAGTCTCCTGGAGAAGAAACAAAATACAGAAAAGAGGTCAGCTTTACAATATTGACCCACGCATGTCCTAAACCCCAGTGACTCTGCCACTTGGACACACAGAGACACTTCCCAGCTTCCCTTCAGTTGGGTGGGGACAACTGAGTGAGCTCTGGCCAACGGCACGTAGGTAGAGAGCAGAGATGCCCCGATCGACGCCCATTATCAATGGACTCCAAAACCACTCAGCAAATGGTCACTGGAAAACAAAAAATTCCCGAAAGTATCCATCCACAGATGACGTACACAGAGAAAAATGTCTCTTTATAATGGAGGGCTCCAGCCACCACCACCTCATGAGATAGAGCTTATCATCAACAAGGTTGGAAAAGCTGACATTATGACGTCATCTACGGTGGCATATCGCCAGAAACTACTTATACCAAATCAAACCACGAGGAAGCAATCAAACAGATTCAGAATGTGAGACTACTGATTTGGATTCTTCAAAAAAAAAAATCTATGTTATACATAACACACAAAAAGAGACAAGAGACTGTTCTAGACTAAAGACTAAAGAGGAAAAACAACCAAATGCAATGTGTGAAGCTTGAAGGAATTCTGGATTGAAATCTGATATGAATTGGATATTGAATGATACACTGAGTTATTGTTCATCTTGCATAATTATGGTTTAGTGGTTATATAAAAGAATTTCCTTAACTCTTAGAAGATGTATGCTTGTGGGGCACCTGGGTGGCTCAGTCGGTTAAGCACCCAACTTCAGCCTAGGTCATGATCTCACCGTTTGTGAGTTCCAGCCCCACGTCAGGATCTGTGCTGACAGCTCAGAGTCTGGAGCCTGCTGCGGATTATGGGCCTCCCTCTTTCTCTCTGCCCCTCCCCCACTTGTGCTCGCTCTCTCTCTCTCAAAAATAGATAAACTTTAAGAAATGCTTTAAAAAAAAAAGAAGATGATGATGTATGCTTGATTCGCAACTGCCAAATCTCGGAAGCACCCAAGATGGCCTCCTCAAGGTGATGGATACATAAACCGTGGTCCATCCAGACAGTGGGGTATTATTCAGCGCTGAAAAAAAATGATCTGTCAAGCCATGAAAAGCCATAGAAGAACTTTAAATGCACATCACTAAATGAAAGAAGCCAGTCTGAAAAGGCTACATACTGTGCGATTCCAACTCGATGACATTCTGGAAAAGTCAAAACTATGGAGACAGTAAAGAGATCAGCAGTTGCCAGGGCTCAGAGGGAAGGAAGGAGGGATGAAGAGGAGCACAGAGGACTTTCAGGGCAGTGAAACTACCCTGTACGACACTATAAAGATACATGTCATTCTCCATTGATCAGAACGCACAGAATGTACAACAGCAAGGGTGAGCCCTAAACTACAGACCTTAGTTAACGCGTCAATATCAGGTCACGGGAGGCAACAAACGTAACAAGTGCAAGACATTAACAAGGGAAATTGAAGGGATGAGAGGATATATGAGAACTGTGTACTTTATGCTCAGTTTTTCTGTAAACCCAAAACTGCCCTAATAAAAAATAGTCTGTTAATTAGGGGCACCTGGGTGGCTCAGTCGGTTGAGCGTCCAACTTCGGCTCAGGTCATGATTTCGTGGTTCGCGGGTTCGAGCCCCGCGCCGGGCTCTGTGCTGACAGCTCAGAGCCTGGACCCTGCTTCAGATTCTGTGTCCCCCTCTCTTTCTCTCTGTGCCCCTCCCCAGCTCACAGTCTGTCTCTCTCTGTCTCCAAACTAAACATTAAAAATTTTTTTTAATAAAAAAACAAAAATAATTTTCTGGGGGCATCTAAGTCAGTTAAGCATACTACTCTTGATTTCAGCTCAGGTCATGATGTCACCGTTCGTGAGTTCAAGCACTGCGTCGGGCTCTGTGCTGACAGCTCGGAGCCTGGAGCCTGCTTCACATTCCGTGTCTCCCCCTCTCTCTGTCCCTCCCCCGCTCATGTTCTGTCTCACTCTGTCTCTCAAAAATAAATAAATGTAACAAAAAAAATAGTCCATTAATTAAAGAAAACACCCTTGTGGGAGAAACGTGGTTGCCTGAAGGGAGAGGGGTGCTGGTGAAGAAGGATAAAGCCGGGAACTGTTTTCTGTCCCAGCTGTTTAGAGTCACTTGGCTTCAACTGAGTTCAGAGATGACCTGAAATACATTTCTAAAATTCATCAGAACGCAGTAAAGCAAGATGATGTTCTACTGAAGCCGGACTTAGCTCGGGCCGCCGTAACAGCACCCCACAGATGAGGTGGCTCAACAGAAATGACTGTTCTCACGGTTCCCAAGACTAGAAGGCCCGGGTCAAGGTGGCGGCAGGTTTGGGGTCTCCGGAGGCCTCTCTCCTTGGCTTGCAGACAGCCACCTTCCTGCCGTGTCCCCACAGCCCTGCTGCCTCTTCCTCTTCTTCTAAGGACGCCAGTCTTATCAGATTAGGGCCCCAGCCTCGCGCCCTCACTCACCCTTACCTCTTAAGGACTCCATCTCCAAACACGGTCATGCTGCAGGTTAGGGCTTCAACATAGGAATCTGGGGGGATACAATTCAGTCCCCAGCCGTTCTTCCATTGCATTTAAAATCAAAAAGGGACAGGAAACAGGCGAGCAGCTTATGCCTACAATCGCCACTAGCAGAGGTGTGGTGGGAAGACAAACGGGAGGGGTGTGAGCAGTCGGGTCCGCAGAGACAGGGCGCCGACAGGGCGCTCGTCCGTCTGCGTGAGGCAGGGAGGGCTCTGCTGCTGGCGATCGCCAAGCAGACCGTCTCTCAACCGACACTGCTCTTTTGTCCTCGGACGTTTTCTTTCTTTTTTTTTTCTTAACATTTATTCATTTTTGAGAGACAGAGAGAGAGCACAAGTCGGGGAGGAGCAGAGAGAGAGGGAGACACAGAATCTGAAGCCGGCTCCAGGCTCCAAGCTGTCAGCCCAGAGCCCGACGCGGGGCTCGACGCCACAAACCGCGAGATCATGACCTGAGCCAAAGTCAGACGCTCAACCGACTGAGCCCCCCAGACGCCCCTGTCCTCGGACGTTTTCTACTTGAAAGCCTGGCTCAGGACATTCCTCTCTAGAACACCTGGGTAGTACCACCTGAACTGGAGTGTGTCCACATTCCCTAGTAGATGACAAACTCCCTGGCTTTATTAGTTTTTAGATACCTCTTGAGCTTTCTCCGGGTCTCAAACAGATGCTCAGTAAGATGGTGATTAAGGCAGTGTTGCTTTGAAAAAGTTTGACCTGCTCCTGTTTGCAGAGCGATAGGGATTCTATTCCGCGCGCCCCTCCCTTATCCCCGAGGCCTGGTTCTGTTGCCCCACCTTCACCGGGGAGCGGTCCAGGCAGCCTCCCCTTAAAGCTCTGTAACTACAGCACCTCCAAGTCAAGCTGCTCACAACACTCCCGGGGACATGTGACTTCAGGAGCTGCCTCGGCCTCAGGCATAAATTGTGCCTTGGCCTGCAACGGTAATCGCTGCGAAAGAAGAAAGCTCAACATCTACAAGAAGGAGGCGACATCAAACCCGGCGGAGATCATTAGTGGCGTGAAATGTCCTATTTGGCTAAAATCAAGTGTTCAAACTTCCAGCCCCTTTGGGGAGTGGCCAATCTGTGACCGGGAACGTATGAGATGAGGGTAGCCAGGCTCTTCTGAGAAGGCCATCAGTCCAAGTCCCGGGGGCCCGCCTAGCAGACTCAGGGAAGGCGGACACAACGTCCCCTGCCCGCCTTCCCTTTTCGATATCCTCTGGGGGGAAGACCCCACCCAAATGCAGTCTCCGCCACCGGAAGTTCCCAGACTCGGGCCTTGTGGGGACAAAGACTTCGGTGGTTCCTGGTCTGGTCTGGTCTGGTTTCAAGACTACCTTGGACCCCCAGGCCCCGAGAAATCCTGCAGACGATGCAGGTCGACAGGGCGAGCTGGGGCTCTCCCCGCGAGCAGGGAAGGCACATGGTGACGGAATACATCAAAAACGCAAGCTGGCTCAAGACATGCCTGTCCTGGCTGAAAGCCCGAGGAGATGAAAGGCCCGCAAACAAGGATCCCTTGCCAGCAGTAACGTATCAGCATCTGTGTTTGTTTAAAATATGTAGAGCGAGAGAGAGTGCGATTTTGTTTTCTCGCAGAACATTCGGAGCCAATTTCGGCACCCAGATCTTCACAGGAAAACCTCATGGGGCTGCGTGAGGTGTGAGCGGGCGTTAAGGGCAGAATTTCCTGCCAGAACTGGAAATTCCACGATAACTGACATCGGATTATTATTTTAAAGGAAAAGAGAAACTGCTATGCACTTGAGACGCGGCGGGCGATCACAGTGGTATTTATGCCGAGCACTAGAAACTCAAGTATGTAGATGGGCTTCAGGGTTTTGCAAAGTGGAGTCCTGACCGGCAGCAGCACCGGGGAGCTTGCTAGAAATATATATTCGCAGGCCCCTCCCAGACCTAAGGGATCAGTCACTGCAGTGGACCCAACACTCCCGGTTTAACCTGGAGCTTGAATCCCCAGGGGGATTCTGCGATCCACCGAGTTCCTTTCAAATACACCAGCGGAAGTGATCTCTAGCCCCAAACATGTATTTATTCCTTACTGATCGTCCCTCCTGTGTGCAAGACACCCACCCTGGCTGCAGCCAGAGCTGAGGACGCTCGTCGCGTGGGCTGGGAATTCTCGGGGTCAGTGCGCACATACGGCCCCTCGTACAGCCCGACGCTGCTGTGGCCGGGACAGCAGGAAGGAAACGAGGGAACCAGGAGCACTCACGTGGCTATTCCCAGGCATCTAGTCCCCGGTCACTCAATTCCACGGCTGGTGACATTTTGGGCCAGTGACTCTTTGTTGCAACGGGGGCCGTCCCATGCCTCTACCCACTAAATGCCAGGAGCATCCCCTGTCCAGTTGTGACACTCAAAATCTTAGGGGGGAGCAAAATCGCCCTGGTCTAGAACCGTCGGGTCAAACTGGAGCATGGGCTCTGCAACGTAAACTACGTTAGGGAGTTAAGGCCCCGGGTGCACTTAGGGGCCGGAGTCTCCAGGACCCATGCCCCGGCTCTTCTCAGTCTACAGAGGAATAAGCCGGGCAGCCGACCCTATGCTCCAGGCCACCTTCACTCAGCCAATCTCGTCCCCCACCGAAGCTGCTGAAGCCGTGGGATTCAGGGAGCACCACGGAGCCCAAAGAATGGCCCTCGAAGCGCCGCACCTCTCCCGCCATCATGAACCTTTGATCTTCGAAATGCCAGTTTCCCGGTCTGCGGTTACACAAAGCAAGAGGTACACCTCCGCCACGGCAGAGACGATGCCACGGGGCCGCCAAATCTCTCAGCTCTACAGTAACCGTTGTTGTGAAAACGCGAGGTTGTTTTGAACAGACTGCTATATTAGGGAGTAATTTGAGCAATTTGAGCACGATGTGAACTCCACATTTGCATGTGGGTGATTTCATCCGGACACGTTCCAGGTGCGTGCAGAAAACTGCACCCAGCTGAAGCCAGGGGCACAGGAATACAGCCCACCCTTGAACGACACGGGTTTGGGCTGCTGAGGTCCACTTATATGCGGATTTGTTTCAAGAAGTACAGTACGGTACTATAAACGTAGGGTCTCTTCCCTAGGATTTTCTTACTGACGCTTTCTCTGGCTTACTTACCATAAGAACACGGTATATAATACATAGAACGGACAAACTAACGTGTTAATCGACTGTTTACGTTTTCGGTGTGGCTTCGGGTCAACGGCAGGCTCTCGGCAGCTACGGTTCTGGGGATTCAAAAGTTCTACATGATCTCTGACCGCGAGGGAATTTGGCGCCCCCAGCCCGGTGTCGTGCGAGGTCCGACTGTACAGAGCTCGCAAGCTGCAGCCCTCACGACACCTACCTCTACAAAACAACTTCAAGTCGTCTTCAAGGTAAAGTGCTACCGTTGTTGTAGTATTTGTGTTTTCCTGACCATCTAACGTGCAAAAGCCGTGCTACTTTTTAGCAGGTTCCCACCGTGTGTGCGTGCGCACGCGCCACCGTGGCGTGTTGCACACACAACCCTGTTTTTCTCATCAGCCCGTGCTTCGTAGCTCCCTGCACGGGGGCCCTGGGCTGCAAGGAATGCGCTCCTCCCCCTTCTGACCGACCTTCAGCCTCAGGCCAGACGGCCCCCCCCCGCCCCCACCCCCAAGCCTCTCGCACCTTCCCGGGCCCCACGCCAAGCTCCCAAAGCTCCCGGTCACGGTCAGGTCCTGCTCGGCGCGCTAGCTCGCCGCAGCTTCCCGATGCCCTGTCCCAAGTACCCGTCCGCCCCGGGCAACCTCGAGGCCCTGCACGGCCGTGGCCGTGTCTCATTCCTCTTGTTCTCAGAGTGCGGCCCCAGCACACAGCCCGTCCGCGCCTGTCCGGCCACTCACCCGCTGCGCGTAACCAGGCACTGCCGGAGCCCCAGTTTCCGGAAGATGTCCACCACCGTCTCCATGGGGGTATGGTCCGTGACCGTGAACGGGCTGAGGTTTAGGACGCGCCGCAGCTTCAGGGGGTGCGGGCTGTTGGCCGGCAGCTCGGGCGGCTCCTCCGTGAAGTACATGATGGAGTTGCTCACGATGCCCTCCTGCCTCTGTCTGGCGTTCTCTGCAATGGGCGAGCGGGAACGATAAGCCACACGAGGGCCCGTGCTTAGCAACTCCGTCGGCCCCGCACCCGCACCGACACACGTCTGCCCTCCATCCACATCCTAGACCCCCACAGGGAAGGGGTTCAGAGGGCGAACGCCACATTCCTAATGAGGGGCTGCAGCCAAACATCTGTAAAATCGGCATCTCTCTGAAGCGAGTGCCCTACGAGGGCCCCCACGCTGTGACCTGATCGTTCGCTGCCAAAGTCTCGACGCGCGGGCTTGAGCAGGGTGGCTTCTTGGGGAGAACGTGCTGCCTCCTCCCGGCCTCCAGGGCCCTCCACCCTTGCTTTCCTAACAGTCCCTCACCTCATCATGGGCCCAGGTTGGACGTGACAAGAGGCCTTGCTGAGCTGCCCAACGACCCTAATAAGGTGGGTTTTTTTTCTTACGAACTAACTTTTAACTGGCCCAAGTGGCATTATGAATCCCGAGAGGAACAAAAACCATAGGACCCTCCTAGGCTCCCAGCCCAGAAATGCAGCTCAATCCCAAATATGACCCTTGGGACCAAAGAAATAACCCCAGAAAAGCCACCTTCCCCCCACCTCTCGGATCTCCTCTCTTAAAAATGGACCGTGTTGGGGATTCCTCAAAGAAAGATAGTAAAACTGTGATGGTAACAATTAGCCTCTTTCTATCTGTAGGCAAGGCCACGCAAAAGCCAGCTGAAGAAAAGCAGGGTAACAGGAACTCATTAGAAACACAGCTTTCTGCAGTACTAGAAGCCCAGGCTATTTTAAGTCACACATGAAATAAATCCATCGGTCTCAAGATATTTCTCCAAGGCGATTTTCCTTCTGTTGGAATTTTAATCTTTCTTTTGGTTCATGGGAAAAGGTTAGGAAAAATGTAGTGTGAGGCCTGCCTTAGAATGGATCCTGGTTTCGATAATGCATTTCTTGCCTTCTCAAAGACTCCTATTCACCTATATTGTTCTTTGAAAAATAAAATTCTAGCTGCCTGCTCTCGGGCCATTTATTGCAATGGAAAACTGACAGCATTCGGGGTCAGGCTGAGTTTGAAAAGGGGTCTCTGTTTAAAAGAGGAACAGAGGGCCCCCTGGGCAAATGCCGGCACATGATGTCACATCGCGCACGCCGCACCCTTCTCTCCTCCATCAAGATGGTTCCGGCCGGAGGCACTAAGGTGAGGACGCAACGGTCAGCACAGACTCGGGCTCTCTTTCACAGACCGACCAAGTCTCTGAAAGGCCCACGTGACAAGAATGCCATCGACTCCAACAGTCAGGCTGACTGGGTCGAGGATGGACCCTTCTCAGGACTGGATCAAGCCACAAACCTCAGTCGAGAACTGAACACGTGATTCGCTGAACCCCTTGTAAAACCCAATACGACTTCGTGAGCTGTCCAGTCTACTTGCTGAAATGAACACCCACCCTACAGATTTCCTCTGAATCTCCTGATCGGGTTAGAAGCCCTGATTCTAATAGCAGCTAGTTCAGTGATTTCTGGCTCACCAGTACATTCCCAGTGCCTGGACAATGCCTGGTATCCAGCAGGCACAAAACAGACATCCGCCAAACGCACGCATCACTAAGCGAATGAATGAGTGAGTAGGTCTCCTAAGTGTCTGGCGGACGCGGGTCCGCCCGCCATGTAGAACCCAGCCCATCCCACGTAGGAGGTGCTGCGAAGGAAAGCCCACGAACGAGAATCAAAGGCGTCGGCCGGCGTCCGAGCCGGAGACGTGAGCTATGCTCCCTGTCACTCCAAGAGTGGCGACTGCCGCTCTCTCCGGAAGGGTCTGTCAGGCCACTCTGGAATTCTGTTATCGGGACTTATCTCAATGCTCAGACTTTGGGGGCGGGGGTGCTCCGGCCAGTAACAGAAGAACCAGCAAGAAAGCTTTTTGCATCGTTCTGCTGGAGGGAGCCATCTACTTCCGGCTCAGATAAGAAACCTTCACCGGTCACCAAGATGCCTACAACAAACTTCACGTTGTGCGCTCACAGGGGGCACAGCCCGGCTACTGCCATCCCCGTCCTGCCGGCTCCCAGAGCTGTTCCAGTACATGGCGCGTGCACAAGAAATAGTCCCCGTGGGAAAGCTTAAACCAACTTCCCGCCCAGGGGATGATCCCGTGCTACCAAGAGTGTAGACTCCCAGACCCCAGGGAGCCATGAAGACTCGTGTCGAAAAAAAAAAAGCAAAACCAAACCAAACAAAAAAAGTCCCAGGTTTACATATGTAAAAGACCTAAAAGACAAGAAGGAAATGCACTAAACATTATTAACCATGGCTTTCCATGGTCTTGAGAAAGTGGGTATCTTTTTTTCCCCCTTTTACTTCTGATTTCCCCAATATTCTATGAGTATGTATTACTTTTAAAAATAAAAATGTAACAGAGGCATCTGGGCAGCTCAGTCGGTTGAGCATCTGACTTAGGCTCGGGTCATGATCTCACGGTTCGGGAGTTCGAGCCCGGCGTCGGGCTCTGTGCTGACAGCTGGGAGCCTGGAGCCTGCTTCGGATTCTGTGTCTCCCTCTCTCCCTGCCCCTCCCCTGCTCGTGCTCTGTCTCTCTCTCAAAAATAAATAAACATTAAAAAAATTTTAATAAAAAAATAAAAATGTAATAAACTCCATTTTTAGTTGTTTTAAAGACCACTTAAACTGTTCTTAATAAAGAAGATTTGTTATATATTCTACCAGAAGTAGTGTCAGCGGCCACCGCTCCTGAAAAATGAGGTACGTTTTGTGAGTACTTGCTAAGGCTATTCAACTTGACATTCCATTTTCTAGCAGACGATACCATGACAATGCCAAGTACAGATAAGAGTGATGGTAAACTATCATGTGGAATTTAAGATACCAAAGAGATGAACATACGGGAAGGGAAGCAAAAATAATATAAAAACAGGGAGGGGGACAAGACATAAGAGACTTTTATTTTTTATTTTTTTAATGTTTATTTTTGAAAGAGAGAGAGACACACAGAGCACAAGTGGGGGAGGGGCAGAGAGAGAGGCAGACACAGAATCCGAAGCGGGCTCCAGGCTCTGAGCCGTCGGCACAGAGCGCGATGTGGGGCTCGAACCCACAAACTGTGAGATCCTGACCGGAGCCTAAGTCGGACGCTTCACTGACTGAGCCACCCCGGCGCCCCCATGAGAGACGTTTAAATACAGAGAACACACTGAGGGTTGCTGGAGGGGTTGTGGGTGGGAGGATGGACTAAATGGATGAGGGGCACTGAGGAGAAAGCTTGTTGGGATCAGCACTGGGTGTTATACGTTGGGGATGAACCACTGGATTCTGCTCCTGAACTCATTACTGCACTATATGCTAACTAACTTGGATGTACATTAAAAAAAAATGAAAAATAAAAAATAGGGTGCTGGTAAAGTAAATTTCACAAACTATGACAGACCAAGAAATTTTTTTTTTTTTTAATTTTTTTTTTTCAACGTTTTTTATTTATTTTTGGGACAGAGAGAGACAGAGCATGAATGGGGGAGGGGCAGAGAGAGAGGGAGACACAGAATTGGAAACAGGCTCCAAGGAGCCATCAGCCCAGAGCCTGATGCGGGGCTCGAACTCACGGACATGAGATCGTGACGTGACCTGGCTGAAGTCGGACGCTTAACCGACTGCGCCACCCAGGCGCCCCCAGACCAAGAAATTTTAAGACTGGAAATAATCATATATTCAGTAGGCTATTATCATGGCTCCACGGCAACGGTTCTCAACGGGGAGCAATGCTGCCCCCACCCTTAGGGGACGTTTGGAAATATCTGGAGACATTTTTGGTCCTCATAACTGGGGGATGGTGTTGCTACTAGCACCCAGTGATGGGAGACCAAGGGTGCTGCTAAACGTCTCTCGGTGCCCAGGACGAGCCCTCACACAAAAGAATGATCCAGCTCCAGATGTCAATGGTGTTAAGGTTGAGAAGCTCTACTTTAGAGTAACATGTTTTTAGAGAGATAATACTCGACCATCCCGTCCATCAAAAATGCTCCCATATGACAGATGTAATTAACTCGAAAGGTTAAAATGGAAAACTGAAAGCAACCGGAGTGGTGGCCAGTACAAAGATGGGATTGCAAAAAAACCATCTCGAAGAAAAAGCAGAGGATGTTATAAGTTCCAGTTTGCCGCGGCATGGAGAAGTCCCTCTGTACATGTGTGTTAAGCCCAGCAGAAAGCAGATGATACCACCGCTCTCCGTGGCCTATTCCAATCATCAACGGCCCTCCCAGGAAGAAACCGCTTTATCCCTAAATAGCCCTTCCAACAGATCTGACACTTTGTTCAGTTCTGGCCGTAGATCCCTTTCTGTAAGTAAGCATCTTCCACATGCTAGAGAATCATCATTAAATCATCCACCAGATGAAAAAAAGGAGCATTCCCTTAACTCTTGCCTGTGACTCCAACTTTCCATCCCTTTAATCATCTTTGCGGCTTCCCGCTGAGTCCTCTCTGAACCCGTCCTCACCTAATTGCAGAATTCAAGACTAGAAGAGTCTGAGCCCTGCTGAGCACAGAAAGAGCCTCACATTTGCAAATGGCACTGAAAGGCAAAGTCCCATTTACTGGGAATTTGAACGAGGGTCACACACGGCCCCATGTGTCAGTATGTGATGGGGGAAGTGGGCCATGTGTCCTTCGCGGGGCTAACGAATCGCTCTTTTAACAAGGACGACGGCTATGGTTCGGCATTCCAGAGATGTTTGAAAATAACAAAACGTTTTCAGCTTCGTGTGAGCAGCTGCTATGATTTTAACAGGATACGTAAGAAAAATCCTCATTTGCCTCAGTTAGCGTTCTTACACAGGCTGTCTGGGATCTACCTGTCTAGAATCTCTGCTAATTCCCCTGCAAATGAAACTGGCATGAGACAGTCACTAGCGAAATGCTAAAGTCATACTTCTATCTTCATGAAAGGTCACATAATTCTGCAAATACCGGTCACATATTTCTCCACCCGAGTACAGGGACTCCTCTGTTTCCACAGATCAGGAAAACAGTTTTTCTGATTGCTCAGAGCGAAACACTCCTCGCCTTTCCACAAACCATGTAAACAGCAGCTTCTATACTATTATCGGTCTGATTGAAAGCATACAGGTATTATTTACCCGGCGTGTTGCCTCTTCAGACATTCCAAACATAGCTTCTAAGAGAGCGCTCCGTCGGCAAGCTTAAATTTCTTCTCTAACCGGTTGATGACAATTACTGCTTCCCACTTGATTACGGTAATGGCTTTCAGCGAAATTAGTAAGCTGTCTCTTAGCAGGTGTGCCTGGAGCTACACAATAGGTAATGGAGCCGGTGACATTTATTACTTTAGTTTTTAAATTTCAACCTTTGCTTAAAAGATTTTAGGGACTGAATGGATTTTTAAAGGCTGCTGATTACATTATTTTAAAACAAACCCTACCCTACTTATACAGCTTAAAACAGATCCCGTTATCTATAAGGCAATATTTACGCCCAAAGGCACCTACCTGTTAAGCGACAGGACCTATAATAAAGAGAAGCATCACTGAGCACGTAAGCACAAATTAAAGGACACGGCTTATCTAAACTTATTTTTACAAAGCCTTTGGCGAAGATACCTTAAAGCTATTTTTTAACGCTTACTTATTTTTGAGAGAGAGAGAAGACACGCGTGCACGTGGAGGAGAGGCAGAGAGAGAATCCGAAGCAGGCTCTGTGCCCTCAGTGCAGACTCCGATGCGGAACTCGAACTCACGACCCCGAACCCTGAGATCACGACCTGAGCTGAAGTCTGACTTAACCCACAGGGCCACCCAGGCGCTCCTAAAGATATTTTAAAAGCTATTTAACATCACAAAGAGATTTTGGAAACTCAAAAGGAGCCACAGAGATAGTTAACCAAGGGCAGGGAAAAGCAAATGGTCATCTGGTGGAGATGTGTTCCCAGTAGGCGTTCTGCAACCCGACCGCGCCAGTCCCCCTGGCGAACTTAGGTACGCTGGAAGACAGGGTACGTGGTAAAGTCATCAAGTGTCCACAGGGGCCGTGCCTCGGGCCCACCGTGGGCTGCCGGAACCAGGAGCAGATCATGGGAGCAGGCGTGCTGAGCCAGACGGCACTTGTACTGGCCACATGCCACGGGTGGGACCCCACCCCGAGGGGGCCTCCGAGCTCACTGTCCTCCTTCTTAGGTCTCCACGTGCCTCACACCCAGACCTTTCTCTTGGGAACCCTTCTACCTCCTGCCCCCCTTTCCGTGCAGGCACCCCTAGGCTGACGTGCCCGCAGGCTTGCTTCTCGGACCTATGGGTCTCTGGCACCGCCCCCCCCCCCCCCCCCCCCCCCCCCCGACCCCGGGCGTCATCCACTCACTCCTCTCCCAACACGACAGCCTGCCCCTCAGCCCAGCAGAGTTCACTTAGCGCACAGGGAGGAAGAGCACCACAGGGAACTGACCCACGAGGGTCTCGAACTAATGGGACGGGACATAATGCCACCAAGCAAAGTGAAGGGCTTGTGTGGTGCCCGGCGGTGGGGCGGGGGGAGGCGTCTGAGACAAAGAACTCACCACAGAAGTCGGTAAGCCCGTCTGAAAGCCTGTGTCCCAGACCAGCTTGCCCGGGGCCGGGCCGGGCTCTCACACCTCAATCCTCGCCGGCTCTACCTGACAACTCCCTAAAAGAGGCAGCAGCCGCAGCCGGCCACCTAGCAGCAGTGGGCCCCTCGGCTGGGTGGCTCAGTCGCTCGGGCGTCCACCCCTCGATTTCGGCTCAGGTCACGCCCACGTCAGGCTCTGTGCTGAGCGTGGGGCCTGCCTGGGATCCTCACTCTCTCTCTCTCCCTCTGCCCCTCTCCCCGGATCGCACACTCTCTCTCTCTCTCTCTCTCAAATTAAAAAAATATATACGCAGAGTCTTGGGCCCCACCCGAAATCTACTGAATCGGAATCTGCACTTCCACCAGATGCCCAGGGGATGTGAATGCGAAATGCGCAGAGCCCCTGGCTTCGAGCCCTCTGGCCTCTGCACTCTACCTCCTTTGAGAATTCAGGGGCTACAGAGGCTACCGTTCCCCCTCTCAGTACATCCCCTCTCTTTACTCACTTATTGCAAGAATCAGCTCCCTCCTCTGGGCAAATCCGATGAGGCGCTCGGAGTCCCTGGAGACCACCACCGGGAAGCCGTTGTAGTCGGTCTCCTTGATGAGCGTCTCCACGTCCTCCACGGTCATGCTGTCCTGGGTGAGCACGGACAGAGGTGGCTCTCCGCGCCGCGGCCGCATGACGTCAGTGGCCAGCGTGCGATGGGTGAACTCATCCTTCACGTCCAGAAACGGGTACCCGTTTAAGTGGATATGAGCCTCGTAGATGCCTTCTTTCCCAAAGGCATCGGCCACCCACTTGCTGGTCACGGCTGCCGCCATCAAGGGCACAATGTACTCTAGGCCACCCGTTAATTCAAACATGATGACCACCAACGACACCGTCATCCTGGTAACCCCGCCTGCAACCGAAGAGAGGAGTACAGTTCTGAAAGCCCATCTCCGGGCCCTCACGAGGGCATGAACTATGGAAATGGACAAGCTGGCTATAAATACTCCTGACACCTATTCTGAAGAGACGGTTGTCCAGGCTGCCCATGGCGGGCCTCTGCAACGGAGGCCAGGCTGTCAAATGCGGCCTTCCCTCAGGGAGCCGTAAGTCACTTCTGACGGGGGGGGGGGGGGGG